AGATGAGGGTAAGGGTGTAGATTTGGTGTATCTGTATTTTTAGAAAGCATTTGACAAGGTTCCATATAAAAGGCTTGTGAAAAAAATTATCTTTATAGGTGTGGAGGATAAATTAGCAAATTGTATAAAAAGAGTGGCTGGATGGAAGAAAGCAGAAGGTTGTTACAAATGGAGTTCAATCAAACTGGATTAACGTCACAAGTGGGTTACCTCTGGGCTCAGTCTTTGGACCTTTGCTCTTTTTGAATTACATCAATGGCATAGATGAAGGAATAGTCAATAAATTACTTAAATTTGCAGATGATATTAAGGTCTTGGGTGTTGCTAGCTGTAAAGAGGATGCTGCTGATTTAATAAAGGATTTAGATCATTTAGTGAGTTGGACAAGTAAATGGCAGATGGGTTTTAATAATAATAAATGCAAGATAATGCATGTGGGTTATCATAATATGAATTATGAGTATAACTTAGATGGAAATAATCTTAACAGTGTTATGAAGGAAAGGGATCTTAGTGTAATAGTCAATCAGTCTCTAAAGCCATCCAAGCAGTGTGCAATTGCTATTGGTAGGACAAATAGGATTTTAGGTTGTATCTACAGAAATATTGAAACAAGTGCAAAGATGTTATAATTTCATTGTACAGGTCAATGGTTAGGCCACATTTGAAATATTGTGTTCAGTCTTGGGCTCCTTACCTCAGAAAGGACATAATATTGTTGGAAAAGGTTCAAAGAAGGGTTACTAGAATGGTGCCTGTGATGGAGTTGTCGTCATACAAGGAGAGGCTGAAATCACTCAAATTGTTTTTCTCTTGAGAAAAAAAAAGACTTGGGTGTTCTGATTGAGGCGTTTAAGATTGTAAAGGGAACTGATAGTGTTGATGAATGTTTTTTCATATTTACCAGTGATAATAGTAGGACTAGGGGACACAAATGTAAATTTTGGCAGGGTAGGAGTCATCTTCAGCTAAGACAGTTTCATTTTTCTAACAGGCCTTTGGATGTTGTAGAGGCAGTGAATTTAAGTGAGTTTAAGAAAAAGCTTGGTAAGTATATGAATGATAAGGGCTGGCTTTAAGGTTTTTTTTGCATTTTTTTTTTAATCATTTTAAATTGGTTTAGAGGATGCAACATACAAGATGGATCAATAGGTCCCATGTTATCCCAAAAACATTGTGTTAGGTTAATAAACTTTTACCCACAAGTTATTCATAAACTGTGACTACAATATTTGGTAATCTTTTCCAAGTGTTATCCTTAACTATGTAGATTTCAAAATGTGAATAATTATAGGTTTTTAAAAGTGGGTGTCAAAATTAAACCCCACTTTTCCTTTGTATTTGATAAAGATTTTAGTTCTCTTATAATCTTACAAACTTAAAAAAAAAGTCTTTAGGCATTAAAATGATAGTAATATTTTCACGCTTTATATTTTAATTTCAGTCTTCACCAGAAATTCTAATTAAAAAAACTTGTATTACACTGTCAAAAATATTCATACACATCATTTTCAAAACTCAAAATATAATTACAAAGCAAACAATAAAAGTGCTTCTTTAGGGTAAGTAAAAAAAGAAAAAGATTTTGCTTGATAAAATCTTAAGACTATATCTTAAGAATAAACAAGCTTTGATTGAAATTAACATAAGTTCCGAGTCTTTAGCATAAAATTTGCTTTATTTAAAGTGTAATGAATCACTTACTTAGTTTTGAGTGCTCTTTTCTGTAGTTCTGATCCTTTATACTCATTAGTTGTAGCAATCAAAGTAATATCAATATTGCTCAAATTTTTACCCATCCCATTGATTTCATCAGCCAGTTCCTCAATTTTCTCTGGGCCAAGTGACATTTTCAGGTTGAGACACTAAAATAATTTTGTACATTGTAGTTAACAACTAGTTCAACAAATCTGATTAGGTTTTAGAAAATTATTCTAGGATAAACAATATATGGATTGGTTCTCTCTTAAGTAGATGGATGTAGGTAGCTATATGTAGCTTTTCAGATACAAACATTGTACCTTATCAGTTTACATGTATTTGTTTAATTGTTTTTGCACAAAGTTATGCAAGGTTTATCTGTGCTAGCCATTCCTAATTTTGAAATGATAAACTAGAGGCAAGGCACCTAATCAACATCACCCACTGCCAACTCTTGGGCTACTCTTTACCAACAAATAGTGTGACTGAACATCAAATTCAAACACCCCTACAGTTTAAAGATTGAGCATATCCAGTGATGTAATGTGATCCTGCAAACCACAGATCGTGAGTCAAGGACTCTAGTCATCAAGCTATTTATATGTGAAAGGCTACTATTAGACATACTAAAAAATGACAATTTATACAGTGAGAGCCCATCACCACAGACAACTACACGTACATATATATAAAAAAGTGCAGAATTGAGATATAACAGCAAAACAGTTTCTACCAGACTGTTTGCAAGCCAAAGAGAGAAAGATTTGATCCCAACATTTACCAAACATAAGCCACAACTAGAAAATACTCCGAAATGAAATATGAAACATTAATAAGATAACCAAATCTAACCAGTTTCAGCAAAACGCAAGTAGAGAACACACTACATAGTGCAAAAACCCTTTCAGAAACTACGCGATTGCATTCAAAAAACACTGAATAATCATAGCTAAAGTTACTTCACACCTTAAGAGTGATAATTATGCATCAGCAATAAAAAAATGTATGATATAAACTGTTGATCTTGACTGCAATTCACACTTAGCAGAAAAGCACTCACACATGCTAAAAAAAATTCCCAAGGAAACTCAAGATAGGGTAGGGATGGAAGAAGTAATAGGTTTGATTCCCCCCCCCCCCTGCTTTTTACACACAAATACAGAGAAAGACAGCATACTGCTCAAATGAAGGATAGTGTTAGTAGTCATGTTTAGTTTAGTAACAACTTTTTTTTATTCTAATAAAAAGCTCAATCTGTTAACCTAAAAGAAACCATGCTTCATCTACCAATAGCCTTTGTTCTCCTGAAAAAGAATAGTGAACTAGTCAAAAGAACTCAAGTTTTGGGTCTCATCTGAAAACCATTACAACTGTTCTACATGATCCCGTGTGCTCACTTCTTAATCAGAATCTATCAATAGCATTCAGAGTTTAGGGGATTGGATGGACTTTATTCCTCTTGCATAACATAGGAGAAGTGTTCATGTTCAGGTAGATACTATACTCAGCTACCTTATAGTAATATTTGTTGAGACTTCCTCATGAAAACTGCATAGAAAATGGTTTTATAGAGCTGGAGAACCAGATCTTTTATAGTGCAACATGTGTGGCCACCACTGTGTTTTGTGCAAGATTTTGGATTGGGTTTTCTTTCCTCATAGCTTGGAAACTAATGCAAATTGAACATGTTGGTGGGCAATTCAGATTCCATTTATTGAAAAGAGTTTGAATTTCTATTCAATATTTTAAAAAGAAGTATTGGAAAACTGTCTGGGAATCAACCTACAACAATGTCCCCCTGAATCACTAACTAGGTGTTAATAGAACAAAAATTTAAGTAAGATACAAATTTTAATTATGACCAGCAGAGAGCATGATTAAATGTTAACAACAAAAAGACTTTTTATGATGATTAGGTACATCACAACTATCACAAGTTTGATAGGTACACCTGATCTTGAGAAGTAAAGAGTTCAAAACAACAAGTAAATATTAACAAAACAAATTTTAATATGAAAAACTAACTTTTAACATTTTACCTAAAACACATAAATATTGAAAGTTTTGTAACACTGACATAAAATACAAGATCATATATTATAGGAAATATTAATGGCACTCTTATTTTCTATCTAGATACTGTTTCAAGTTACTCTTCATAAAAACTTACTTAACACACAGGGGTGTTTTTTCTTTACTAATATTATCCAGAATTAAGAAAAACAACTGTACATTTCACAAATATTGATTATATTATTGTATTGTATTTTTACAAGTGATGGAGTAAACGGTATAAAAGGAAGTAGGTTTATAATGAGAATACACCTGTCATTTCTGTGCATCTGCTTACTATATATTTGTTTGGTGGTTTTCAGCATGACTTAACTGTAAATGATCTGATTCTTTATATTAATGTACAGTATACTTTGTTACTTTAACTGTAAATGGTTCTTGAAGATGATGCAGGATTATTTAATAAGTTTTAAACAATGGCTGGTAATTAAAGTAAAATACAAATAGATAAATAATTTTATAACTAATTTCACCTATTTTGTATACTAAATAACAGCTAGTATGAAAGAGAGAGAGAGAGTGTGTGTGTGTGTGTGTGTGTGTGTGTGTGTGTGTGTGTGTGTGTGTGTGTGTGTGCATTCAGGTACAAAAAAAACACACAGACATTAATACTTAAGGACAGTAATGATAAAGGACTTGACCTAATTTGCTTAAAAAATATAATTTTATAAATCAAAGTACTAATAACCTTTATATTAATGCTGTTCTATACATAATCATCATATTAGAAACAAAATTGCTGTGGGTAAAATAAAACACTTCCAATATTTTCTAATTAGTAACGTTTTTACAGTATATGCCTGACTTAGTAATTGGTCAATTCACTTACACAATACTTATAAGTAATGACAGAATTAGTTACCTGAAACCAAACTACAATATGATATTTCCATTTTCATAAAACAAGTCAAAATCACATTCTTAAGACTAGTACCAAAGATAAAACTTACTTCTACTTGTAGAATTAAAATTAAATAATACCTCAGATGACAAGAGCTTCACTTTCTCCAATACATCTCTTGTTCCTGTAAGCTGTGCTCCATCACTATCAAACAAATTCTCAATACGACTCAGCAGACCATCAATCTCTGGAGAATTTTCTGATTGAAATTTAGCATTCTTAACTAGTTCATAGGCCTCTCTGGCTACTTTCAATGTTTCAACAGACAGTCCATTCAAGTTCACTAGCTAAAATAGAATATTTTTTCTATTTACTTGACAACTTTGATATAAAAAGAAATTCAAGAAAAAAAAAAACTACCACTTATTTAACCATTATATCCACATTTACTACAAGTATTATGAAAAAAAAATTATCACTAAATAAAAAATCTATAAAGAGCTAGCTACTGAACTCAAAAAAGGAACTAAACAAAATAGGGATGGAAGTGGACATATCACTCGATCCAACTAATGATCACATAACAGACTAAGTCATCATGGCTTTACATGGAGAATAAAATCCCTATACTACTGGCTTCCTCACTTTGTCTATCAAAAGCTTTGTGTTTAAATATAATTGTTTGTTTGTTTGTTTTTGAATTTCCGCAACGCTACACGAGGGCTATCTGCGCTAGCCGTCCCTAATTTAGCAGTGTAAGACTAGAGGGAAGGTAGCTAGTCATCACCACCCACCGCCAACTCTTGGGCTACTCTTTTACCAACGAATAGTGGGAATGACCATCACATTATAACGCCCCCACGGCTGAAAGGGCGAGCATGTTTGGTGTGATGTGGATTCGAACCCGCGACCCTCAGATTGCGAGTCGAGTGCCCTAACCACCTGGCCATGCCGGGTACGAAAATATAATTGTAACTTTCATCATTATACCTTTCCTTTAGTTAACTTTATAATACTTGTATGACTATTTTAAAACATTTTACAATTGGAAATTCTGGTTCTATTTGTTTTGCCAGTGAGAAAGCCAGTAATGTAGGGATTTTATTCTTCATGTAAAGTCAATACGGCTTAGTCCACTATGTGATCATTAGTCAGATAAACTGATATGTTCATTTCCATCCCTATCTTGTTTGATTCTTTTTTTCAATAAACTTTTTTCATAATACTTGTTTACTTTTTTTCTTCTTTTCTATAAGATGGATTCTATACATGGATTACAAGTTATAGTGTATTCTAAAGCTTTATAAATTTTGCATACAATAATAATAAAATAGGTAGTCAAAGATCGTGAAGATTGTTTTGTTCTATGAAATGATGATAAAATTATAGTTACTGCTAGAACTAGATAGGTGCTAGGCCTGTTCTAGAAAGATGATGATGAACGAAAATAAGAAATCTCAGTTTTGGTTATCTTGCTTTGGTACGCTCTGGATAGCTGAAAAGCGGTATATACACCAGAGATATAGTGACTATGTCAGGTATCTCTTCACATCTAGCTTCTGATGACCTGCATGTGTACTGTTTTTTTTTCTTTACTCCCTTCACTTCATACATAATATAGGGGTTGACTCCCTAAAGACACCAATTGTATAGTGTAACAAAGCATTGAGTATTTTACATGTTACAGTCATCTAATGTTCATGTATTATTGGCTGGTAATTCCTGTTTCACCCTGTGTTTATGTATAGCCTAATATGAATAAAACTTACTAAAGACCTTAACATTCAACTGAAACCTGTATCCAATTTCAATATCTTACAATTAACTTGCAAAAAAATTATGTTAAAACTACCATTTGCTTTGAAAGTCTAAACAGATAACTATGAATACTTGATATATTTCAAAAATAAATCATTAACTTAAACTGAAAGTTTTAAAAACAACTAATTTTAATAGTTGGGACAAAAGCAAACAAGAATAAACACAAAAGCCCAATACTAAACCTCATATAATAAATCTGTTACTGCTGTTTCTTTCCAGTTTATATTGTTCTGTGCTTCCTTGACCAAGTCAAGTGCATTTGTGGCTAATGTAATGGCTGCTTTGTCACATCCCTTTCCTCCACATTTGTCACATCCAATCCCACCACATAAATAGTCACAGTTATCCACAGTTCCCATCCCATCACACACCTATAAAACAGAAGCACAATAATGTAAGCTTATTAAAATATTGTGAAACGAGATTACATGACTTTCCACTATTAATTAACAAACATTTCAGAAATTTGACTTTCATTCTCAACCTTTCTTGCCCACTTCCTATGCTTTGTTCAGCAAATACCCTGTTCTTTAGATAACTGACTGGAATAATTTTATTGAAAAAAGCCTTATATTTAGACCAAAGTGTTAGAAAGTACACAGGTTGAAGAAATCAATTTAACACAAAAATATGAAATCCTATAACCCAAGAAAATTCAAAAGGTGAACCTGTCTTCAATTTGCCCATGATAAAAAAAGACCCACATTTCAAAAATGCTCAAGTTACAGGGTTTCATATCTAGAACAAAGACATATCCCAGTTAAGACAATATAACCTTCATATTTTGGTGGTTAAATATTATTAATGTATTTGAAACAGAAACCTCCACTACCACATTTCAGATGCTTTCTCTTGATGGAATTGGAAGAAGCAAGAGGAGGAGGGAGTAAATACTGTAATATAGACCTCAGTAAATGGAGAAAACAATGTTGAAAGCAAAGGTTTAAATAAAGCAATCATAAGACATCCTATGTTAGGCATCATTGCAACACATACAGTGGTCTAAAAGACCCAGTGTGAAAGAACATTTCTCATCCCTACTCAACAAAAAAAAAAAAAAATCTAGTGAGTGTGTAAGATAATCAAAGAAAATGTTCATCAACTGTTCACATCCCATGGTGAAAGATGCCCTTGAAGCAACTACCCCCCAAACAGTGCTTCAGCACTGCTAAAGACATATATAGGACACACTATATAACATTCATTTTAGTCTTGAAAAGTATATTAAAATAACTAAACACTGAAATAATATAAGTATGCTTGCAATTAAAAAAAAAGGAGGAAAGTTACATATTAATTTGCAAATTGTGGAAATAAATGCACAAACAGTTACTTAATTGCATGAAATATTACTCAGATTATGTTCTCAGACTGTAAAAAGTATTATCTCTTTAAAAAAAGCAATTCATGTGGGATATGATAAGTGAGATAAGTAACAATACCTCTGTATGTATCTATTAATAAAAGGTGTACTGCGAGAATTGTTCATCTATAAGCTGTGCATTGAAAAACCTAAGCAGAATTGAATCATATAAAAAAAAAAAGTTTTTCTGGGTGGTTCCCGTAATTATCTAGCAGTTTACACACTTATGTCAGAAAGAACAAAGATTGTTATTTCACTTGATAGGAAGATGCATTTGTTAATAGAAATTTCAAGGAAGATTTGTCCAAGAGAAACTTTTAGTATTGTTCTAATCCAAGTACAAAACTTTCCATTGAAAATGTAAAAGCTCCCTTAAGAAGTTAAAATTAGCCCCAGAAAAATGAAGATACAACAGTAAACAAAGTGTTTATAAAGGTAGAATTAAGTAAATAACTGGCATGCAACAGATTCCAAAATTAAAAAAAAATAGCCAATCTATGCAACTTAACCACCAAGAGAAGATATGAAATATTTTTATTCTTTAGTTTTCAGTGTTGACTGAAGAATGGAAACCATTTTCTAGGAAGATGACAAACAACTTCAGATGAATGTTTGTTGTTGTTTTTTAATTCCACTCAACATTTCAGCTTAGACCTTTTGCAAGGGTTCTTTGAACATAACAGGTTACAAAACTGATTTTTACATTATAGTAACCAATACAAATATAAAATTACAATAATATAAAGGAATAGTGCATGGTGAAGAATATTAAAAGTATTTTTAAACAGGTTATAGTCACTGATCATAAAAGTAAATAAACAATTAAAAATAGAATAAACCTTACATGAAATAATAGTTTTACAGGGGCCAGGTGTTATATTTATTTGAATTGAATCAAGAGATTACTTAAATTTTTCTATCAAGGAAGTTGTCACAAATCTCTATAATTTGAATATGACAGACACAGTAGTGGTTCAGATGTTAAGGAAGAATACAAGTGTCTCAGAACTAGGACTAAACAACAAGTGTACTTCCCAAAAGTACTAAGAGAAATGCAACAATATAAGATAGAAGAAGTAACATGTGGATGTTGGATAGACATAATACAACCTAACTGTTATTGGTTGACCAGAGATTGACAATAGTGAGGACTATCATACTGACAGTCTATTGTTATTGATCTAATGGACCAAAAAATAAATAAAAAATTCCATTAGCCTCTATGCCATGGCTAATTCATGTCTGAACATCATATTGTGGGCTGAAATGCTAACTTCAAGGACAGTTTTGCTGTCGCCCCATTGTTGTCTTGTATTCTATTATTTCTTTCTTATTATTGTTTTTATTTTATTTGAGTTTTGTGACCAACAACCATCCCACATCTGGCTGCAGACAGCAAGAGATGGTAAAGATATGGGACATTGTGGGTTAGAACACCCACACCTGCTCCTTTTGTTGTTGTTCTTTTTTCCTTCTAAGCATGCGAGGCCAACACAGTTGAGGTTGAACTGGATAGGCAGTGTATTCCCAATGCAATTTGGGTCTTACTTCTGCTGGTACCTCAATAAAAACCAGAGCACACTACATGATGACCCATCTTATGATTTGTGTCCTGGTGTTGGGCATTTGTTTTGTAACTGCTTTCTTTCTCTCTCCATAAAATTACATTTAATTATATTTCATCTCAGGTTGTGGACTGACAGGAGTCTGAAATTTTACCATTCAACCCAGAACAACCTTAAAAGTTTTGTTACATTTTAAACTACTGCATACAGGTTCAAGACCAATATATTTCATCTTGTGACTGCTTACAGATTAAAGGTACATTAATTATACTAAAAGTAGCCTTTAAAGGGTCTAAAGTTCCATTTATCACTGTTTAACAATTCATGTTGAATATACAAAATACATTACATGCATTTATACTTATGTTCTTTCATACATAAAGGTTCATTTTTGCAAGTGTTTTATTAAACAATTTATAATTGTTTCTGATCATATTTCTAGGTTTGAATAACATTTCTATGCATTCAAACTGATATTTTCATTGTATTTATTAGAACTAAACAAAAATTTTTTCTTGCTAGCAAAATAAAATAAAGTTTACATTAAAAAAACAAAACAAAGATAAATTCTTACTAGTGTATTAATGTATGAAATCTCAGCTTCTAAAATGTTGTATGCTTCGTTAGAAATATTTTTCAAAGCTGATTTATTCTCAGCATATGTTTTGTCCAAGTCCACTTTTTTCTTCTCAATCAACAACTCTGTCCGATTTCTCCTTAGAGCAGATTCATTAAGGACATCTTGAGCAGCATTTATTCTATTTTCTGCTAACTCAGATTTTTCTCCAGCTCTCAAAACAACATTGAAAGTTCCTTCATAAAGTTAAAATAAACAAAAACGAAAAGTATGTATTGGAATAAAATTTTTAAGACAAAAATCACAATATTTTAAATCCTTGAACTATTTATCAGATTCACATAGACCTTATTAGCTTTTTAAACGTTTTTATGAATTATTTTTAAAGGTCCATGATTTTGTTGATTACAGTGTCACTAATACATATCTGAAAGTAAAAAAAAAATATCAATATTGTAGCAAACTGATGAAGATGTTAACTATGATTGTTTAATAGTATCCTTATAAATTAAAGAAATTTATTTTTGTTCATAAAATTCCATTTTTCTTTGTTCACATACTCACTCTGCTTATATTGATTCTCCCTACTATTTAATGAGAAATTCAAAAATTACCCAAGAAAATACTTCTTTCAATTCAAATATATTTGTAAAGAAAAATTAGAACAAAATTTTAATGATAAATAAATTCCAAAATGGAATAATTCCTACTGCTCACCTTCAACATCCGCTTGATGCAGCCTTGTAAAATAGCTCTTCATGTATTTTACATCTTGTTCTAGTATACTGCCTTGCTCTCTCACATCCATTAAAGCAAGTTTAGTATCTGAGATTCTTTGTGTAGTGATGTTTGCCTCAAGCTCGACATCTTCTAACTGAATGGTAAAGTTGTATCTAAAACAATCATAAGTTTTAGAAATTAGTTTTTGTCATATCTATTTATGGAAACCTCATTTGTATTTTTAACTCAACTATGATTAAAATGTCACACCAAATACACTTACATGCCCTGTTCAACCACACACACACAGGTTCAGTCTTCACAAGTTTATAGAAATCAGAAGATTTCAGTGATTAAACTGGTATTAAAACATCAAATTTCTAAGTATTCAAAAGTTTTCTGAACTCCATGTACACAATAATTCTAAGGTACATCTATTTGTCAGCCATTCTTAAAATCAATTAACATATCAAGAATACTAAAGATGAATGTAACATAGTTGTTTTACACTGTTTTATTAATTAACCTGTTACAGTACTAAAGTACAAAAGTAATACACTTTCATATAAGATGATAAAAACCCTATAACCTGAGCACCTTTAGAAGGTGGACCTTTCTTCTTCAGGGGCAAACTGAGAATGGTGGTGTAATCGAATGAGGTGTGTGTGTGTGTGTGTGTGTGTGTGTGTGTGTGTGTGTGTGTGTGTGTGTGTGTGTGTGTGTGTGTGTGTGTGTGTGTGTGTGTGTGTGTTTATATATATATA